TGAGAGCTGTGGAGTCGTGTGTTGGCAGTGCGACTAGGTTTGTATGATTAATATAGTGAATGTAGATTGTTATAATGAGTGATGTAATGTGTAGTGTGCTGTGTGTGTGACTGATTGTAGGTAGATACGTCGTGTGTGTGTGTGTGTGTGTGTTCCTGCTATCTCTGTGTTGTGCGTCTGTGTGTCGAAGGTGCACCTTTCTGTAGTATAGTGTGGTGAACATGTAGATGGTAACACAGACCTTACTTATGTTAACTGGGGTATTATACATACATGCGTGCATATGACTCGTGCCAAGCACTCATGGACCGAGTACTGACCCTATCACCCAACTTCAGAACTCATTGCACCATGCGCGACTGAGCGAATCATAGAAGAAGGATGGAGAATCTTGGACAAGGAAGCTCCAACTCTCCACCTCTCAGCATGTTCGCTCTGTGAACATCTAATATTATATCCTCCAGCTAATTAATGATCTGTGTCGCACATTCCTGGTACTGAGCTCAGTGCCGAGGGCTGTCCACAATCAGGTATATGCGGAGAGTGTAAAATAGGACCAATACGATGCAGAACATTTGTTTATGTGTGTTTTGTGTGTGTGTGTGTATGTGTGTGTGTGTTGTGTGTGTGTATCGCGCGTGTCTGATCGCGTCGTGTGCTGCTAGTGCCTGTGTCTGACTCTCGTGATGATCGTCCCGCACTAGTGTTAGCGCGCGTTGGGTGGCCACAAGTTGTGTGTACCCAGTTTGCGCATGCGGAGCCACGACGGATTGTGCATGGTGTAGATAAGTCTCTCTCTGTGATTGAATTGTGAGTGAGGTCTAGTGTAACTGGAGCAATGCAGGCTGTTATGTCATAGCTGCTCCCGCTTTATTCACACGTAAGGCTACAGCTGCAGCCTTTATGTGGCAGACTGGCTAAAGTGAAGATAAGGCAATTAGCTACAGTGTGGATGTTGTGTTCGCTACGCGATGTCTAGCTGTAGATCTCGTTCAGCCCATAGCACGTGCACCTCCTTACATCTCTCGATATATAAAGAGCGATCGTGCGCAACGGCGCATATCCATTACTTCAACTATGAAACTATATTATATCCAAGCTATAACGTCGTGCACACGACAATATTGACAATCGAAACAACAGATTTAGCATTCGTGGAAATCTGTGTTAGACCGCACTAACACATGTGAGTCGTATATACTGCTTCGACGACATATAGATATTGCCTCTCGGCAAATAAGATTTCTGCTCGACGCGTCTTCTTCAATAACTAGTGCTCAGTCTGCATTGTCTCCCAACGACCCTCTGTCACCTACGACACCCAGCAGCAGCCCTCGCTGCGCGGAACTCCTGCCTTGGCTCCTTGATTACAAGTGTTAAAACAATAGTATTCCACCACTGGTGTGCCCAGATCGCTCTTCAAAGCAATGTTATTTTTCAGTGCGCTTTTCGTACGTTTCCTTGTTCACTGGTACTCCTTTATATATGTCTAGTTAGTTAGTACTGTGGGGTTTAATCGTGCGTGCGGCTATTGTCCATTATCTCTCCATCATTATCACATTGAGCAAGACGCTAAGTACTTTCTATAACATGCGATCTACAGTTTTGATATGATCCTACATAATCATTTTCATATGACATAAACACATTCCTTAGCTCCCTATTAGTGCCGACTCAAGGGAATAATGGGAGTCGATCCTGCGTATGCTTCAGAAAGACATCATAAGTGAGACACTGTGTGTAACCATATCATTGAATACCTTACAGTATTTCTGTGCGAATTAGAGAAGGTGTTATGTTTTAATTTACGGCCACTCAATTGTTACATTATCTCAGATCCTCATTCTTAATATCGATATAAGTTCCAAGAGTTTTACCATTTTGTTTCACTTTTCTATTAATTAGTTGTTTCAAATATCAATATGTCCCTTTTTCTAATCGGTTTAGTCAGGTGAGCTACACCACCTCACTATTCCCAGAAGCCCTACGGTGTCACACTAAATATGGAAAATCGATGGTAGCATACTACATATAATGCATTCCTTTGATGAAAACGCTGTTACAAGTCATTAAAGGATGTTATTCGCTTTACCACCCGGTAGTACATATAAAGCTCTGATTTCCAAGGTATATGAAGTATATCTTTTTCCACTCTCCACTATAATGAATGAAATTGTAGAATAAGGGCGCATTGATCCTTTGCAGTGTTCATAACTAGATATTTGATCCCGCATGTAATCTATTTCTTTATATTAATGATCTCAAGTATCGCAATCCCTGGGAGATAGCATTTGTAGGTAGCTGATTCTTTCGCAGTAGTGTAATAATCCTTAAACATATTGCGTCATGTTCCTCTTCTATATCTCTTCATTTTCTTGCGATTTGTGTTTATTGATTTGTCGAGATGCTATAATCAAAGTGTACATATTCAGATATAGTCACAGTAATACACTGTGTGCGCTCTAGTTACTATGAGATTGTCGGGACGTAGAATTGTCAGTCATGTTGGGTGCCACTACCTCTTGATCGAGCGCAAGAGGAGATAACTATAGCGATCCATAACTAATTTCTATACACATGCTAGCGACTGATTGAGAGAATGATGAGAGCATTACTCAAAATATTTAACAACAATAATTATAGACATTATACAATATATATATATATTATTTATATATATAAGTATTTCATTTATGCATTGTATATATATATACAGTATATAAGTATATTATATATTATAGTATATATTTATAAAGAGTTATGGCACAATGATAATAAGAGTAGTAGTTAATGACTACTAGTCCATATATCATCTCAGATACTGATATATATATAATTAACATCATTTTAGCTTTTAAGGTTAGGCTGTATTATGATTATATATTATAGTATACTATAGTGTAATTATTGTGTTGATATTTTATATATATAAGTATTAGTTTATATATTATATATCTATCATAGTAGTATCATATTATATATTACAATATATATAATAATAATATATTAGTATATCAGTATAGTCACCTATATATATATTTTACATGTATAATTTTTGTATATATATATATACTATACTTAATTATGTATATCATATGAATGATAACTATGTTAATGTATAAGTAAGTATTGACGAATATGAGTATACTGTATGTATAAATGATTATATATAATATATATTACTATACAATATGTAATAAGTTATAGTAGTATATTAATATATATATATTATGTATATACTAATAATAGTATATACAAGTGTGGTGTGTGTGTGTTGTGTGTATGTGCTGTGTGTGTGTGTGTGCTGGTGTGTGTGCTGAAATTATATTTTTCCTGTAAGTGAGTAGTGTTGTGATTTCAATTTATGTGTCTGGTAGTCTGTATTAAACATAGAAATGTTATATAGGTCATATCAAGTCAAAGTTATTCTAAGTCATATGCTAATTCATATATATAATGATATATACTTATATGATTTGAATAATAATACTATATACTGGCGAGAGTCGCAATTATGGTCAGAGGTGTATTACGGAAAGTGAAGGTCGAGGGCCTACATGTTGTCAGATCGAAGCTATCTCAGAGTGACTTTCCAGTGTAGATCCTAGCGATAAGTAAGTAGTGAGATCTAAACTGTGGTGATGTTTGTGTGGAACAAGTAAATTAGACTGAATATGTACTTACTTGTATGGTCATGAAAATAGGCAAAGTGGTATGGAAGATCTGGACGTAGCTCCCGATGGTCTTTTAGTTATCACTGATTTCGCCTGTCCAGCTGAGATCATCATTAATTCGAACACTAAAACTTATCATTACGTAAGAAATGAGTAAGTTAAGTATCAAGAATCCAATTATAATTAGTGCATTGTGACACTTTTATTTGTATGTTTTAACAGAGGTACACATAGGAGTGCGAATCAGGAGGGGTGTATGAACCTAGGTGTTGGTTCTAATGTCTATCTCTCAGCGGAGAATTTCTCTAAGAGTGAACGGAGCGCATTTGAAAATAGTGTAGGCTTACAGTATGATTGTCTCTGAGACAAATAGAGGAGATACAGACGCAGTACACAGAGTGATCTGATCGGACACTACCAAATGCCTACCTGATTTCGTTAGTCGTTGATACCCTCTAATACTTGTGGTCTACGTCTTACGATGTTTGTTTTTCACGTGTTGTATTTTTTTACGCTGGCCACTAACTTCTAATGAAGAAAGACGCATAGTCTGAGATACACAACTAGCTGGTATACATAGCCTATGTATCCGTATCACAATTGGTATATGCTTATTATTATGATGCGCATCATCGATAGCTGATTATTACGCCTCTAATTCCTCTTGCCTCCTATGATACGATTATAGTATACTGCTGCCTGAGCCTCTGTTCCTCATTTACATAATGATTCTAATCGAGCCTAGAACATGTCATTGACAGATTCATGCTGCTCTCTACCTTCCTCCTGCTCGATTGACTCTTACACTACACTAACTACCTACCTATGAGAACTTGTGTTTGGCTGTGTTTGCTGTCGAGTTTTCTGTGTGTGTGCTCTCTCTCTCTCTCTCTCATCATTACACATACATTCATACCAATCTGCACTGCATCACAATCTATCACACTCCATTCGACTCACTACTCCTGCATCCATCTCCTTTATCCTCCTCCACACTACAACATCCTCTATGCACTCACTCACACTGCATCTTCCACTGTTCTCTCATCCTTTCGCAACTCATTTACTCTCCTCATCCTCTTGTCCTCTCGTCATCACTCCTCACTAGCTCCTCCTTCTTCCTCTAACTCCCTACTCTCCACGCTCCTACTCTTCCTACCTCCTCCCTCTGCCTCCTCCTAACCCCCTTTTTTCCTGTTCTCTTCCCCCTCCTCCTTCAACTCCTCCTCCTCTTCCTCTTTATCTCTCTTCCCCCCAGTATTGATGTATTAGGTTTTCACTATATACAAAAGATTTACCGTTTTTGTTCTCTCTGTCTTCTTGCAGGAGTAGTGAAGACCATGGATCCTCTAAGATCACATGTGTCACAAGAAATCCACAATCTCATGAAGACCTCGGAGAACCAGGTCATTGATGCTGTCACCAAAGTCATTCACTCCAGAGTAAGTGTTAGCATGGTTGTAGGTTTTATCATTTTTGTTTCTTTTTTGTTCTCTTTGATCTTTTATGTTTTATTTGTCTTTTTATGTCTTTACTTTTGTATGAGTATTGTTTTTGATTCACTTTTTACATTTTTCAGAAGCATTTTTTGCAAATGAATTTGTACCTTTGCATCTATGAGCAAAGGATTATAGAAATCCATGACATTTGTTAATTATACTTTGTTTTAATTAGTCATTCGTAAGAACCTATTTGATGCCTTTCTTTTCACAGCCATTCTTAGATAACCTAGGAGGAACCGTCGGTGCTGTCGTTGGCCCATCAGTCCAGAATTCCTGCCGTGAAGCCTACAATAAGTTGCTCTTACCGGGACTGAATGCACTGACACAGCAGGTGTTCTCTCAAGTCAATGAAAGCTTCAGTCGTGGCACCAAAGAGTGTGAGTTACCAATATATAAGTGTGTGTGTCTGTATGTGAGAGAGACTGTCTGTCTGTCTTGGGATAGATGAGTCTAGATTCTACCTTTTTTTTTCCCCTCTAGTTTTTTGTTTTGTTTTTTATGATCTACCATATTGTTTATTATAATTTCTGTTTGCCTCTCTGGCTGTCCATGTCTGTCTGTCTAGTTGTCATTCTTTTTTTCAAAACTATGAATAGAGATGTACAATATTTGTATATAAATCATTTCAAAGGTTAGGGGAGTTTCTTGTTGTTATTAGTGATATTGTTACTGCTATTATTATTATTATTGTTATTAATAATACCCTTTGTTATGATTCATCAAAAACTTCTTTATTCTTGGAAAAACAGACCTTCACAATGTGGAGAGCGAAATGCAGAGTGGGCGCACAGCCATGCAGGAGAGTCTCGGCAAGGCATCCCAGTCTCTGAACACAGCCTGCTCATCCCTCACCACACAGACAAAGAACCTGCAGGAGAATGTCACCAAGCTCGGGGCCCAGCAGAGCATGTGAGCCTTTTTTGAGTGCTTTTAGGAGACTTTTGGGGATTTTGGGGGCCTGTGGAGTTCATTGGCTCTTTGTTTCAGTTGGTTTTGAAAAGTTTGCAACAGATTTTATTTTTATGTGCTACTTAATGTCAGTGGTATATTTTGTAAAACAGGATTTCATGAATGTGTTACATAGCTATATGAGATATTATGTGCTTTGATAAGATTTTGAAAAGAGTGAAACTAAGATGCTTGAGATATGAGATTGGAAGCTGAATGTAACTGGTGTTTGTACAGTCTGGTGATGTTTGTGCATTGTTGGTTTTTCTACCATAGTATCAACACATAGTAGTTACAAATTCCTTGCATTTCACCCCCATATCTCCCCACAGTATCACAGAATCTCTAGCAGAGCGTATCCGTGCGCTGGTCCGAGAAGAAGTCACCCGGGCCCTCCAGGAGCACCAGGCTGCTGTTGATGCCCGAAGCCGAGCACACACACCTGCACCAGCCCCACATGTCCACAACCCCAAACTAGCCCAGCAACAGGTTCAGAACCTCATTTCCTCGGGCCAGTTCAACACCGCCTTTAAGCAGGTATGTCAATCAAACACAGGGTCCCCTCATATAGTGCGCGCTTTTGTTTTTGATGGAACTGGCACTCAAGGGAAACAGGAAATTGATTTTCCGTTTCCCTTACCTTCTACCACACACCTGTGCTTTGGTGCTTGGTTACACTTAGGTCAATTACCCTCTTTCTTTCCCCAGTTAAATACTTTGTTTCTTTTTCTGATATTGCGGGTTGATTTTTTGTATAGATGTTCTTGTCTCTGCCTTTTAGATATTTAGTTTTGGTATTTTAACACATTGACATTTAGAGTGATAACTGCCATAGTTGTTTATAGTTTCACTATTAGTCAATTTTTTCCCCCCATAAAATCCCACTTGTGAATTATTTCATCATACCATTTTCATCATGTAAAACATTACCTCTAAAATTAAAATTTGGCCCTATAGAACCAATAAACTTGTCACATACGAATTTGTGGATTGTGCTTCTTTTTTTATATTTGATGGGGGTGGCTGCTACATGGAGTGTGGGTTTCAGGCTCTCTCTGCATCAGACCTTAGCCTCGTGGTGTTTGTGTGTGAGCGTGTCA